AGAAGACCAATGAGAAACACAGTTTATACAGTTTTGAACATGAGAAAAGTTAGAAGAATCAGTAGGGGAAAGAGGAACAATCAAAAAAACATCAGCAAAGAGACAGATTTCACAATTAGGTGGGAGCGACAGAGGTAGATCATTAATAAAAATAAGAAATAAAAGAGGACTAAGTACACTGCCTTGAGGAACACCAGAAGGAACAGAAGAAGGAGAAGAGACAGAATCGTTCACACGCACGCACTGAGAACGGTTCGAAAGATAAGAAGATAGAAGAGACAACAAAGAATCACGCATACCACAACGAGATAATTCTCTGTTATCCAACAGAGACAGGCTATCCGCTTTCATACCTGCATACTAGTTAGTCGTTATACGTGGAGCGATCATTTTTCTTCGTATGGTGAGAGATCCTGTTCTTTTAAAAACAACTAGTGATCACTTCTCATTCAAAAGAACTGAAGTTGAACCATGTGACACTTACTTGCTTCTAATATCTAAAATTCCTTTACAATAGATTCTCTCATTTTATCATCGATGGGATACGAGCATAAGATCCTACTATCAGTTACTTCTGATGTTACCCAAACCCGATTAAGTCAAACACTGAAAAAAACTGTTGCTTCTGAATGAAAGAAGCAACACTGTTTTTCTCCTGATAGAGAGCATGATTTTTTGTGAATATATGGAAAAAAATTTTCTGGTTTAAGTCTAGTTATAAATCAAAAAGCTTTTAGCATTTCATAGATTCACAGCCTTCTCTTCGAACAATAAGCGATATACTATCGTCAGGTGGTAGTTAAGAACTGATTTTCCCACCTCTGCCCGAAATACTTTTTGACCTAAGTCCAGTTTAGAAGCCAAAAACTACGAAGATGGTAAAAAACGTCGAAATTTCTATTACTTAAGTGATATTATATGCTCTATCCAGTTAGACTATAACGAGAACCCAACAGTTTTGAATAAAAAGTCACGAACACTTCTCAACATCTGACAAAATCGGCTTAAAACGTATATAGTTACTTATTTCTGAAGAGTAAGACATCAAAAGTCGAGTAGAACTCTCAATTCTATAAATGCTAGGTAATTATCAGAAGTCACCTTATTCCGCATTCGAACATCATATGGTCAAACAGAAAGGAACAAAAATTATTAGTTTTCTTTTTTCGCAGATGAGTACAGGACTAAGACTAAGACTGTTTTATTCACGAAAAGTGTGAGTCATCAAAGGTCAACGACCTGTAATAACAATGACTCAAGTCAAGCAACATCAAAAGAGTAAAAAAAGAACAGAATAAACAAGACAACTAACGTTAGGACCAGAAATAGTAAAGAGGAAAAAAAGAAAGTGAAAATGTTTTTTTAAAAAAAAAATAAGAAAAAAAGAACAATATGAATTCATAACTGACATGTTTCACTGGAAGAGATACTGAAGTAAAGCTGTTTTGAAAGACGTTAAAGAAGAAAGACAAATAACTGACTCTGGGAGATTATTCCAATCAGCAATAGTTGAATAAAAAAAAGAAGAACGCGCCGTTTGCGGAGAAAAACCATCAACAGAAGAGTGAATGCGAACATATTTAGAGCGGTGAAGACGTAAAGATGAGTAGTGAGGACGATGAATAGTATAAAAAAGAGAAACAAAACTTAGACAATGATAAATTTTGAAAAACTGTAGAAGTCTAAAGTATTTACGACGAAGAGAGACAAGCAAGAGCAATGTCCTTGGCATGATCGTTCCACCTAAGATTGTGCGAAACAAGGACACGAAGACAACGAACAGAAGACACAACAGAGAGAGGAACACCATTGAGATACAATTGATTATAAACATACGGAAAGAGATGGAAAGAAAAAGGAAGCCAACAACATTTAGAAACGTTTAGAGACATGAGATTGGAAGAAGACCAATGAGAAACACAGTTTATACAATTTTGAACATGAGAAAAATTAGAAGAATCAGTAGGGGAAAGAGGAACAATCAAAAAAACATCAGCAAAGAGACAGATTTCACAATTAGGTGGGAGCGACAGAGGTAGATCATTAATAAAAATAAGAAATAAAAGAGGACTAAGTACACTGCCTTGAGGAACACCAGAAGGAACAGTAGAAGAAGAGGAGACAGAATCATTCGCACACACACACTGAGAACGGTTCGAAAGATAAGAAGATAGAAGAGACAACAAAAGAATCACGCACACCACAACGAGATAATTTTTCTAACAAAAGAGAATGAGGAACAGAGTCAAATGCTTTAGAAAAATCAAAAGGCACACCAACACACTTTACACCAGCATTCATTTTTTTTTTTTTTTTTAAAAATTTTTGTTTTATTTTACTACTTCTGGTTCTAATCTTAGTTGTCTTCTTTATTCTGTTATTTCTTTTATTATTATTTTGGTGTTGTTTGGCTTGAGTAATTTTTACACAGGTCGATGACCTTTGATGACTCTCACTTTTCGTGAATAAACAATCTTAGTCTTAGTCCAAAATTTTAAGACGGTTGAAGATAAAAACAACAAAGCATGCAGAGTAGAATGTTTAGGACGAAAACCGAACTGTTTGTTACAAAAAAAGAGTGTTTCGAAAGATGAGAAAAAATAAAATTATAAGTTAGACGTTCAAACACTTTAGAAACAACAGGAAGAAGTGAAATAGGGCGATAGTTAGAAATATCAGCAAGAGCGCCTTATCAGGTACCCAACGGATTCCTTGGACTCTTACTTAAGGCAAATCATACAGATCAGGATGCGCTAGATAGCTAAGTTCTAACTTTAATCAAAGCTACATCCTATCAGCCGTTATTTATGTCCACAAAAATCAACGCATTAACATATTTGATTGATATGATAATAAAATCCAAGAAATATGTTTAAAAGAACGACTATTGGATTGTAGCTTGCATTGCTATTGGTGTATCATAAACGTAAGAAAAAAAAACTTAAAAGAGGTCGGATCCTACTATTAACAATGTTTTTTCAAAGTATATCATTCAAGGCAGATTTTTTTTAAGATACCAATCATCCACTTGGTTTTCAACTAAAATGCTTCTGAACATTAGAAAATCAAGTTTTTTTCTTTTTGATTATATATACATATTGCATGTTTACGCAGCAGACGAAGAAAGAAAACAGAAAAAGATATTTTTTGAAAATGTGTAGAGGTCAATATGACTCATCGAATCATCATTAACCGTTCAAAATTTTTAAGATTTTAGTGAAGCGATTTCAACAGATGAAAGTTTTAGAATTAAGCACGAACCAAATGGAACTTCATTTTCTATTTTACTTTTTTTTCATGCTCTAATAAAATTACCGAGATATTTAGTATTCTAAGTTAAATATCTTCACGAAAAGTGAAGGATCATCATAAAGCTTTTGACCGATAAAACACTTCACCAAAAAAGAACTAAATCGATAAAAACAAATATGAACTTAAAAACGAAATAAAAAGACAGATAACGAAAGAGTAAATAAATAAACAAGCTAACTATACTGAAATATGATTAACATCTGAGCAAAGAGACATTTAGAAAGAGCTTTTTTGACACACACACACACTATAGAGAACGCTTTTTTGTGAATACCTTGATGATTCTTATAAAGCATAAAACAGAAAAATACAAAATGAAATCCAATTTGGCCCTTGTTTAACGCTTCTAAAGTATTTATCAATAAAGTTCTTTCACTAAAAACTAAAAAAGGCATCATTGGTCTTCCAACTGATAACACATGTTTTTGCTTAAAAATTTAAAAAAGAACATTAGAGCAGCACTTGGTGCTGGTCTGGCTGCTGAGAAGTACTGGATAAATAACTATTACTGCATTTCAACAAACGACAGAGTTAGAAAGTTAGGCATATTTGGCTGGCATCTACGTCGTTTTGGCATCTACAGTCTTAGTCTACTCATGTGCGTATTTCTATAGAAAGAAATTTGCTGATATTTTATAACTCAAAATATCTTTTGCAGACACTAGTTCACTCGCTTCACTTGACTATAATTGTTCATCAGGGGTTGGATTATACAGTTCTATACAAAATTACAGAAAGGATTTGTTTTCAATATTTTTTTTTGCTCTATCACAATAATTACAACAAAACTGAAAAGTGATTTGAGTAGTTGAAAGAATTTTCAATCAGGAATGATATATATGCAAGTTCTATTCAAATTTGTTGATGTGGGATCTTAGTAGAGCAGAACTCTTGGAAACCAAGTCTACAGATTGAATATCATCTATCATAATAATAAAAAAATAGCACACAACTCCGTTGTATAGGACAAATTTTTCTAGAAAAGACATCTCCAAGTGCTCCATCTACGTTCATTATATGGAAGGTCCGAAGAGAGGAATCTTTTCCCGTTGAAGCTAAGAACTTGGTTTCCAAGAGCTCTGCTCTACTAAGATCCCACATCACCAAATTTTAATAGAACTTGCATATATATCGCTCCTGATTGAAAACTCTTTCAACTATTCAAACCACTTTTCAAATTTATTCTGATTATTGTGATCGAGCAAAAAAGCATTAAAAACAAATTCTTTCTATAATTTTGTACAGGATTATATACTGATTATTCGACAATATTTAGATTCCACCTCTAGTTGTATGGAGGATAGTATTTCTGCCAGAGATACAGAGTATTTATTGGAAAAAAAATGCACAAAGTTTTGTCATTCGTCTGAAAAACAAATCAAGTTTCTGAATGTCATAGTTTAAAATACAAAAAAAACAAGCAGTCGAAAAGAAAGTGTACACATAAGTTTTTTACAAATTTTAGTTGTATAAGGTATTTGATTTTGGATGTTGTCAACAATAAAAATACTACGATGGCAAAATGTGAATAGTTAAGAGTTTAGAGAATAAAACAAATAATACGCAAATAAAAAAGAAGACCTGAGATTTTTACTGCAGACAGACCTGATGAAATGTATTGTGTTTCGAATATTGACAAAGGATCCCTGAGGAAGAGAAAAAGATGGAAAAAACAAGATTTCAATAAATTATTTCATTCTCGGTAATGATTTATCATTCGTGACTGTTTTACGAAGTTTAATTCCACGTTGTATTTCCTGAAGAAACGACGAATTCTTCGTCATTTCATTCGTGTTATTTTGAATCGGTATCGATACGATGTTAGATGAATTATTTATATGTACAGAACGATTGCAATTTGTTGACTTTTGACAATCGCTAAAAAAGAAATCAGGTGGTGGCGGAGGAAAATCATCAACGTTAGTGTCATTATGATTGCTTCTAGATGTCGAGTGTTGTTGTTGCATAGATCTTGGGTTTTTACTATTAATATCATTCGTATTATTATTATTATTATTATTATTAACATTTACAACGGTTATACTGTTTCCATTGGTAGTTGATTGATATTCAACAACATCAGCTAATTCTTCGGCACGTTTAAGTCTTGCTCTGAGACGTGCTTGAAGTTCGATATAGGCGTCATCTTTTACACACGATTTTGCCATTAATGACGCGGATGAAGACAGTTTGTATGTCGTCGTTGATGTATTCATCGACGGTGTACGCCGAATAGGTGGTGCCGGTTTTTCTATGACAGACATACCACGACGAAGACCATCATTAGAATTTTTATTTGATGATGAATTTTGTTGGTTACAATCATTACTTGGCACACCTAAAATAATAAAGAATAATGAAATAGACAAAAAGATCAGACTGCAGATCAAAATTTTTTTTAAACATAAAACGTTTAAAAAAATAACTACTTACTTCTTGACAGGTATTCATACACTAGAAAGAAAAAGAAGATAATCATCAATAGATTTTGTTTCGTTAAAAAAGAACAATAATACATACTTTCATCAAGTGTTTCATCGACTGATTCAAATGACGGTTGCAATTGACCGTAGTAGGCACTTGTTGTATACTGTGTTTCTTGTAAGAGAGTAGTTGTTGATGAGTTATGTGTTTGATGACGATTACGATCACGCCACACAATAGATTTTGTATCAATTGCCTTTAAAAAGATCGATGAAATTTTTGTCTTTTGATAACTTCAAAGAAACTTACAGTTGCTTCTGAAGATAATGTTGCACTTCTTATTCGACGTTGTTGATCATTATTTTCGTCTAACGACATATTCGGTCGTGTGCCATAATATTCTGGTAATGAAGGCGGTTTAGTGGGTTTTAATCTTGCATTTGGATGATCACGCCTTGGTGAACGTCGGTCAAGACTTAAATCTCTCATACGATAACGACGAGATGGTACAGAATGTTGACGAGACAAACCACCATATAGACCATCTTCAGATATCTAAATATTTAGACGACCCAAATTGAAAATTACTCTGTAATAAAATGAAGGAAACAGTTAATATTACTAGTGGTGAACGCATTTGTTGACCAGTTTCTTCACTAATATTCCAATTTGGTTTTTCAAATAAACTTGGATCAGGTGGATCAAATGTATGAGCAGTGATCGCAGGACGAGAGCATTTGGCTGGTTCAGGTGCTCCCGTCACCGTATGAGGATGTTTTCCTGTTGATGGCTCTGGTCTTTTAGCCCACGCATTCAATGTACTACAAACAACAAGTAATGGACTAGCACTACCATCTAATTCGCGCTATAATTAAAAGTAAAAAATAAATGATAATGTTGACGATGGTATGTGAAAATAATTACCTCTGACTCTTCAAGAGGAGATGGTGGTCGAGCAAAAAACTGCTCTTGTGATGTAAATCCTGAATCTTGTGAAGATACACTAGATAATCGGCTAACAGCAACAGCACCCTAGAATATCACAATGAAATAGAATTTATGTCAATGCCGTCTAATATTCTTGATCTTACTGGTATCGGTTTGTTTTGATTGTATTGTGGATGAATATATTGACCATTGTGATTTACAATTGGTATTTGTTTATTATGTTGAGGGCTACGTGAATTTGTTGAACTACTCGATGAACTACTAATGCTATTTATAGAGCAAACACTTGATTTTCGACTACTGAGAGAACCGGGCGACGATGGAGGTGTCTAAAAAAAAGTTTCAAACGTTAAATATTTATAAAGAAATATAGAACTGAATAAATTACACCTTACTTTAAATGCAACAATTGTACTATAATCAATTCCTTTAATATCTTTAATGACTTGTTCACTTGCACTTGGTAAACAATTTGGTTCTGCTGTTTGTTTATTTAAACACTGTACAATATCATCAACATGACTCATTTCAGTTGACATCGATATTTCAAGTTCCTGAAAAAAAACAAAAAAGAAATTAATAAAAATCGATTATATTCTTAATGCACATCTCTTTAATTTACCATAATTGGTTTAATTAAATTATAAATTGTACAAAAGCGACTTCTTTCTTCAATCATTGCCGATCGCAATGCTTGTTTTTCTCGTTCTTCAAGCATTGAATAATAATTACTAACTTCTTGAATAGCACTGTTTAATTTATTATGCAATATATCATTTTTTGGTACTAAATACAAATATATTTCATTGAATTAATTACACTAAAATGATATACAATCAAGATACATACATTTTTTACATTTTTTCTGTAATTTAACTGTTTCAGTAGCTTTTTTTCGTAGTTCATTACGAAGTTTCTTATAATCTAAATACAAAAATAGAATAGTTTTTAACTATTGACATTTGCTTATGATAAATCATTACCTTTAAGTCCCTTTGCATGATCTTTATCTAATGTATTTGCTGATTTTTTCCAATCTTCAATTCGTTCATTTAATGGTTGAACAAATGATTCAACTAAAGAACTAGAAAACAAAAAAAAATTTCCATATTTTTTGTCTTCTTCTGTTTGCCAAATAATTAATATCCATTATAAATACCTAGTAAAAGATTTTAATTTTTGCTCAATTGCTTTATGTCTTAAACATAGACGAGTTAAAGCTGTGCCAATATCGCGCGTTTGACCTACAGAAAAAAGAAAAAAAAAAATTTAATTATAAATGGTGACGAGAAACAATTATATAAAAAAGTTAACCTTTTGTATTTGTTGCCAAATCGGCAATTCGTTGAAATGCATCCAAAAATGAACTGAAAGCGATAAGAGTAGCTCTAAAGTAGAAAGTAAATATCATATCATTACTTAAAGAATAAGTGAACTGTTAGTTTATTGTACGATTGTGTCTGATGGATTCTACTGTTCTAATGCATCGCTACTATACCATTGTTTACTCAAATTTTAGATGAATCTAACTCCGCTGAGAATTACAGAATACATGGATAGTTTACATAAAATTTTCCAAATGTTCTAAAAACACAATGAACATGATCTTTACGTCATACAATAGTCCACCTTCTCATATTCATATTTATTTGCATTTCTAGATTTGTTTGATTACTTCATTGACACGTAATCAAAAACAATCTTTTGTTTTTATAATTATTTATCACGAAAAATATATAATTCTATTCAGAAGAATGATTAATGAACATATACAACTGTTTATATATTTTTATCTAAATGGTAGTCATTAACTTTTTGGCATGTTATCATCTTCTTTCTTTAGTCTATACAAAACTACAAAAAAACAGAGAGTATTTTATTGACGTTACGAATGATCAAACTCATAGAAAAACACCAAACAAAAAAACTACTTGAGAATGAATTCAGTATGTTAAAGAATGAATTGTTCATACAACAACGATGATCTGATATATATGTGTGTGTACATTCTAAAAAACTAAACAAATCAAACGATGATATTTTATAATATAGACAAATGTCTCATCTAACAACAACATAAATAACAGATGTAGTACTAATTAATCGAATAAACTGACATTTATACTAATTTATTGTAATGAGACGGATAAAATTATACACAGAAGTCAAAATTTGAGATACTAACTAAACTTAGTGATAAGTCTTACGTCTTTTTCTTAAACTTAAACTTAACTTCTTTTCTTGTCGAATGTGTTGATCTCATTTTGAATAAAATGAAAGTTCCTTCCTATCAGGAACTCTATTGAAATTTTGTCTGCTCAAGAAAGTTATCAAAAAAAGATACATTTTCTTGGCGCTACGATGAAACAGTAGCTATGAACAATCAAATGGCACACTCTTCTTGGTGTATGTGCGACCAAGTTTTAAATTTTATTTATACAACCATGTGCACAAATTTTTGTGTATAAACAAACGTTAATTATTCGTTCATATATTGCTCAACCTTTTCTTTTTTCTTCTCATTTTATGCCCATGACATTTAAAGAGTTTCAAGTGTGAACATCGTATTTGGCTAAGTTTTTTTATTGAAAAAAAACAGCCTTCGAATATCATTATGACGAGTTGTTGTTGAAGGTGAAAAAATGTTACATTTGAAAAGAAAAGAAAACATAGCAAAAAAGAAAGTGTTCAGTGTAAGACCCGTCAGCATAAACTATAAAAAAGAGATGATTGTTATAAAGAAAGAATATTTAACACAAAGAGGTAGAGAAAGTGGGATCACTATGTAAATGTCAAAATTAATATTTTTTTCATATTGGCAATTTACTAAATAGGACGATCGATCTATAGACCGATACACACACACACACAAATATATCGAGATGTGTATGTTGAGAGTGTCAATTATCAACGTAAAAGAGACAGAAAAATAGTAATGAGGTATAATGTCACGGAATGAACATCGAACATATTTGGAGTCTAATTTTTTCTATAACACACGCACGATTTTATTTTTCAACACTTAACACACTAATCTCTTTTGTATATAGATCTCGATCACTGTTGTGAAAGTGTTGTCTAGCCTATTTATGTAATGAAAATAAAGCACATTAAGTTTACAAACTATTGTATTGTAGTCATACTAGCTTTATCATTTAATCATAACTCTAATTATTAGTTGATTTACAGTTGAAAAATATTGTGACAGCTGTCGATAACATACACTAAAAATGACACTTCACCATTGTATGTTCATCATTATCTCTCTATAACCTTCTAGAAGTGCGTGTCAGCACTTCTCTATCTCAAACAATTTGATTGATAAAATCGATGATGTGTAAATTCATAAATAATGAGGAAAAGTAAAGAATCGATTTTTATTGATTTCATCAACTACTATATACAAAATAATTGTTTACAATAATGGAAAGCTAATAATACTTATTAAAAATATAAAAGTTTCAACTATTCTTGGGAAAATTTAATCTCAAAAAAACTTTTTTAAAGTATTTTTTAGATGTCTCAAAAATTGAAACGATCAAATATTTATTTTTGAAATGAATAATATCTAATTCGTTGTACAATAGTTGTCTTATCGTTCAACATATCTTCTTTTCAAGAAACACTCGAAATACATAAAGAAAAAAAAATTCGAAATGACTATATTTATGTGAACTGCTTCATATCTATCAACAAGGTCTAACAAAAAAGCTGACAACATCTAACTCAAAAATTATCACTGAAAATAAATGACCGTAAATAATTTACAGAGCTTATCTGTACATTAAACAATTAGAAAAATACGAATTCTTATCATTTCTCAGAAGGACTTTTCTGCAGTATAATTAGTCAAAAATAAACAAATTAGTCACAGTTAGTTTCTTATACTAATGTGATGATAGAGGAGAATATGTGAGTACACACTCACGTAACTTGTATTTCTTTTTTTAATAAGTTTCTCAAAAAGAACGGATCTTGTTTTTTTCTGTCTTTCTAGAAGTTAATTTATTAGCTTTCTCGTCTAGAAAACGTATACTATATATGATTTTGAAAATTTTTTCAGAATATAAGTCCAATCTTTCACCACTGTAGAATCTTACTTATCCCTGTCTTTCACTCATCTCGTTTAAGAAGTAGTGTAAATAGTGATTTTTCGCATCACATCTTTTTATTCTATCATTAAAGTAGATGTGATATGTTCATCTTTCTCTCAAACTAATTGTATATAGACTTTAAACATTTCCATCTAAATGAAGTTTCTTCTATCGGATTTTTTTAATCTCTTCTTAGTGACATTAAACACTCTGTTGTCGAAGCGAGTTTTGGGCTGTATTATTTTTTCTCGCTCTCTTCCAACAAAATAACATGTGGTTTTTTTCTTTTAGATCGCCAATATATGAGTATAAATTATTATCAACTTACTTCAGTTGAACATGTAGCTTGCTTGCTTTCGTCACCAAATCTTCCCATAATGTTGAACTGTTCTATAAACAAACAAGCAAATATGAATACAGTATGTATATATATATATATATATATATATGTATATATTCATAATCATCAGAAGAAAATTATGAATAACAATCGACGAAAGACCCAGAGATAGAAGTGATTATCATACTACTAATAGAATTTGGAATTGTGCATGTATAAAAAACGGCAAATTACAAATGTTTGCTTTAGGCAATACAATATTTTTGTCTTAAACCTGGCCATTCTATCTTGATTAACAAACCATTTGTGGTCTACATATAGTATATATCCAAAATTTACTTTAGAATATTCCGACGACACTTTTCTCTTGAGAAACATGTATTATCACGAACCTCTTAATTCATCTCATTATTTATTCTTTTTCAACATGCATTAGTATAGAAAGTGTTCTTCATATCGAACCAATAGGAGAGAATTATTCTTATAATCAATGTTTTGAAAACTCGATTGTTTTTCAATTAAAAGTTTTGAACCTCTTCTTAGAAATGTATGTTAATCACTAATACAAGAGTTTAAATCAAATGTTAAGAATTTTAAAACTTTAAATCGTATGATCGAAATGGAGAGAAGTTGTTCACTGTATATAATAGTTATGGGATTAATGAGAAGTACCTTGACATTTCAAAGTAATATTCAAGTTCATTTTGTCTCTAGCGTCCACTATAATCTCATTTTGTTGCCAGTATAAAGAAGTGTATACTTTACAACAAAAATTTTAGTGCATGAATATCAATAATGTTTATATGCAGAATAAACGAATTGATATATGAAGAGAAGCAAACTTTCAAGAAACAACTATATAATTTCTGACAGATGATCCTGTGTAAAAAAAAAGTAAAATTACAAAAAAGTTCAATATAGTCTCAGTGATTAATTAATCAATTCGATCGATCTGTTTTTATTCAAAAGCGTGCAAGGTTATTTAGATTACCTTCATTTCGTTGACAATACTTTGAAATAATGCACCAAGTATCGAACATTCTTTTTCGGCGTTTTCAATTACATTCATCTTTCTTATGTGAATTTAATTTTCCAAAATTTTATAATAATTACAATGAACAATCAGGATAACAACAAATGAGCATTATTGTTCCATTTATATGTGTATAGTGATGATGATATTTTAAATTGAAATAACATTCATCTACGATTTAATATGACAATTAGATCGATTATATTAAGAGATATTTTTTGATGTTAGTTAACGATCGGTGCCATTTTTTTCCCCTTTTTTATTTCAACCTTTGAACAAAGATCTGTATAACTGACTGCTCTGGTTATTTCGTATTACATATAATGAAATAGTGATGACATACGTCGCTCTTTCTCTTATTTTTTCCTTCTCTCTTCGTTGCTGTTGTTCAAAATGCTTATTACATATAGTGAATACTCTACCTTTTTATTGTTGGAATAAATAAAATGTAGGAGTGAAAAGGTAGAGTGAGACAGCCGATTGAGAAAATAGTTGTTTCTAAAAATACGCTTTAATCAGTTGTAACAACTCTTGTATAAGTGTAAGAGAAAGTTTCTTCTTTTCTGTCGATTTAGACAATAGAACTACATGTAGTGGACTTCGCTTATTATTATCACTCATTCCTAATCGTTCTGTTCTTCTTTTTTTTCGCCTACACTCTCGTTCTTTCTCTCTTTCTGCTTGTTCTTGTTCATCATTAGCTCGAAGACTAAAGACTCGACTGACTGCCGTCTCTTTTTTCGATTTTTTTCTCTCTTTTATTTCTACATGTTGCGTACTACAGATACAATCGTCAAAGTTACCCTCTGCTTTACGATTGTACACGCACATCAATAAAAAAGAAAGAATTCTTTTTTTTTTTTGAACGTTCTCTATCCATGTTCATTTCGAAACACATTGTTTATTGGTCATACAGTTTGAGGCGTTGTATGTTTCCTGACCGCTGTGTTCAATTTTCTTATTATGTTTTAATGAATATTTAGTATTCCGTAGTCTCTCTCTATTTCTCCTCTCATACAAGAAAATAATAAAACAATTAAAACAGATGGGGATATAGTCTACATATAAATGCAAGGCGTTCTCTTTTTGTTTAGTTTCTCTATTCTCTTACAGACCCTCAGAGTAGTATAAAAAATGCAAGAAAGAATGTGCACAATCAGCTCAGCATGATTTGTGGGATAGACTATCGAAAATAGTGATGTACATCATACATTACATTAAAAAAACAAATAGTATGCGCGACTGACACCATATGAATGTTGGCAATAATTTTTAATTAACTATCCATCAGTGGTCACCCAGTTCATTAAATTTAAATCAAATAGATATTGATCACTTGAAATAATGTCTACCATCAGTACTAGAAAAATATAATGAATGCCTTTAAACAATGAATGTATTTAAAGAAAAAAATTGTTTCTGACTCTTGACATATTTTTTTATTGAATTGCCGTAGTATATGTACATTTTATAGAAAATATGACCGAAATAAATCTTGGATGATTTGATCAATTGACATACTCAGTCTTTACTAATTTCCATTCACTAATACACACCATTAGTTAATATCACATCGGAAAAAAGAATTTTGAATGATTAGAATATTTCTCATTAAAATAAATAAAAAATCAAGTTTCAAGAACAGTTCATGGATAAATCAGTTCAGATAAACGCTTCGGGTTTTCGGATTCAGTTATTACTTATATTTTTATGCTTACCAATACAGGGTGTTTTAAGAGTCACTATCGAAATGAAAATGGCTATAATTTCATTTTTTGGAGCAAATGAACTCTCATTTTTTTTGTTCAAACTCTTAGATATAACAAAAAAAAACCAACCGCCATACTCTTTAGAGGTCAGAATAAATATTGTTGTATTAATGGCAAAATTTGAATGTGTACTGTTGGTCCATCGTCGTCGTTCGTCATCAAATTTTCAGCCATTTCTACCCTTAAATCTTTATCGTACAGCTGTTGAGTGGATGCGTTTTATAGGGTTTGTAATCAAGAATATGACGTGTCTTTAG